TTTTTTTTTTTTGCCTTTTTTTATTGTGATAGGATAGTTTAGAATTGACAGGAAGCAAATTGGGAGGGGGGTGGTCGGGAAAGGCTTTCTAGAGACTAGGCTTTTGCCGCCTAGTCTCTGAAATCTTTTTCAAGTAGGCTAGTCATAAGCACTTGGAGTCATGAAAAATGTATTTGGTGAAAATTTTTTTTTCAAGTGTATATATTATTTCATGCTCCTACAGATTCGAACTCTCTGAAACTGAATATTTGTAATTTCCCCACTTTCAAATACTGTATATTATTACAGATATATGCCAAGGTAATAACAGTGCAGGCTTTGCCAAGAGGTCAAATCAAATATTAATGCAATGCTATGAGGCAGCACATTATGATTGTCTAGAATCTGGTTGTTGCGTTTGTAAGGGTGGTAACTCTCATATGAACCCAACTTTATTATTTCTGACTTAAATCGTTTTCTGTGTTTTCCTCCATAGTGATCAGAAAAATGCCCAATTTCCTTGTGATCATGCACATACAGTACTGACTGTTTTGATATCACTAAAAATAGTTTAGATATGCTGTAAACGTAATAGTCCTATACATCTGAATGACGGTAAGCATGACTGTGTTTTTACAATAAATAGATGAAAGCACTTTTTACGTTCTACAGTCAAAAGTGTAAAGGCATATTGACATGGATGAATATGACTGGCTACATATTTTGTATTTTTAATTTTTATTTTGTTCACTTTTATTTTTTATTTTATTTTATTATTTTTTTTATATTTATTTATAGGAGAGTGTTCTGATTTTTTCTGTCCTTCATTGCATTGAGTGCATTCTGCTTTCCACTCTTGGGTAACCTAGTTCTTAATATGTGCTTTTATTCCCCACAAGGACTGATATTATGATGCTCCATCATAATTTAGCTGTTTCTTATATGAGTGGAGTGACCCTGATATCAATGTCTGTTCACTCATACCAGTAAAGAGCTGGAGGTTTATAGACAATTTCCTCATGAGAGAAGTGTTATTTTATAAAACAGCATATATAGCATATGGCACAGATTCATAAAAGGTCAGTTCCCTGTAGCATATATACAGGGAACTGTATAGTTTTGTTGCAATTTCAAAATAATATTGTGATAAAGCATTTGTGATCACGGTGTTGAGTTGCAATTCCCTCCCATTTTTGTTTTCCTCATATATCCATCTCCGATGGTTGCTGAATAAATCACCAGAATACAACTATTGATTTATTTTAATTAAGAGTATTCAGTAGTCATGCAATACACAAGTTTTTTGGGCTGTGGTGAGATGCATGCTGCTGGAATGCTCTGTAACTGCTGCATCGCTTCTGCTTGGATGCACTGCAGGAACGTACACCGCCATTGACTGTAGATAGGCTGAGCATGCTGGAGCACTCATATAGTGCATGTTGACCAATCTAACCAATGCTGGTTTCTGTGAGAGCTGAGGCTGTGCCTTTAACGTTGATGGTATTTTTTGTGTCTATGCAGTGTCTAATGTTGTGTGTGAGTTTGAGTGAGTAACAGTGTGGTTACTCACTGCATTCTAATGGACAAATTTATTTGAATTTTGTCATCATTTATTCAACATGATGACATTCAAACCCCATAGGATTATTCTCCCTTTTTAATTTATTTATTTTATTTTAATCATGAAGCATAAAAGAATTGTATTACGATTTTATCAACCTTTGTCAACCTTATACACTTCCATTTAAGTTTGCGGTCTGTAAGATTTTAATGTTTTTGTAAGAAGTCTCTTATGTTCACAATGGCTGTGTTAATTGGATGATAAATTCAGTAAACACTGTAATATTGTAAAAATGTTTCTGTTTGAACATATTTTAAAATGTAATTTATTCCTGTGATGGCAAATACATTTTGTAGCCATTACTTTAGTCCTCCGTGTCAGTTTTTCTCTTTACTCTCCCTTTTGATCAATTAATGGTGTCCTTGCTGAATAAAAGTGTTAATTTCTTTAAAAATATGTATTTAATTTCTTAAATGTTTGTGCTTATTAATGCTTTGGGGCAAGTTTTATAATACACACACATTTTAGCCAAATAATTTGTGTAATAGCTTGTCAAAGTTTAATAGGAATATCTCAGTCCACATGTCTTTTACAGGGGCCATGTAAAAAAAAATAATTTTTTACAATAAATGAAAATGATTTACAATAAACAAGACAATTGATGACTATAAACTAGTAGGCCTATACCCATGGTTCCTCAAATGTTTGAAATTGTTCTTTCAGGCATTTCTAAAAACCCAGCCGAGAATGTCAACATTTTCTTTTTCTTTTTTGAAAGCACAGATTATTTTCTATAGATGACAAAAATGAATTGGTCCTAGTAGGATACCATTAAAGTAGTCCATATGACATGTAAACTACACTTCAAGTTTTTTTTAAAGCCATTTGATAGCTTTGTGTGAGAAACAATTTAAGTGCAGTAATTTGTGATAAAGTTGTGTAATTTTTTTACATTTAATTGCTGTACAGTTTGTTGCTGTACAGTCAGTGCTGTAAAGCTTGAGAAGTTTTTGTACTGTCTGCTGTCTCTCAGCGAGACATCTGTTAAATGTTTTAGCCTTTGGGGATTGTACACCGTGTGGCCAGATTAGCTTCAAAGTGCTAAGTCAGTTGTTGCAAATGAGGACATTTTTTGTAGTACCATAGGTCAAAGTACTAAAAAAAAAAAAACTCTGAAGTACCAAGTCGCAGGTGTGTCTTTGAGCTCGAGGCCTTGTATTCTTTCTGGAAACAATTCCAGCGAGGCCAGCAACACTTAGAATGGATCACAGAAGTTTGCTTCAGTGCCCAGCAATCTCCTGAGAGTGAGAGAAATCCCATTAGTATTCAAGGACCCACTTTTTCTAGCTGTCACACCTCAAGAGCTTTAGGGAGAATTGGCTCTTTCACAAGTGAGAGTGCAGGCAGAGAGCTGAAGGGATGATTATTAAATACTCGCTTTCTTTCATTCTTTTTCTTTTTCTCCTTCACTGCCTTTCTGCAGGTCTAAATGTGAGGCATTAGAATGCTGTATTCTAGAAACGCCTCATGTCATGCTGCCCTTTGTTCAGCTCAACAATGCGTCTT